TCGAAATTTATCGATCATCTTAGGTATATTATCTATTTCATTTTATTGATAAAAATTATTCGAATAAATTTATTTATTTTTTAGAGTACGATGTACAAATTTATTATCATTTGTTCTTTCCGATGGAGTTTATTATGAAGGAACTAAAGCAAATTTTGAACGTGCTGAACGATTTAGTGTAGTACGAACAACAACAATGTATCAAACAAGTATTGTTAGTGCACTTAGTTTTTATAATGAATTAAGATTTAATTAAAAGACAAAAAACTTATTTTATTTTATTGTTTAAATAAAATAGTTATATATATAAATATATGTTAGTATGTAATTGAATAATAAAATAAGAGAATAGAATATTTTCAAAATTTAGTTTGTATTTCGTAAGAATGTAACATGAGAAGAAAAAAACTTAAAGTTTTATATCAATACAATAGCAACAAAAAGAGTGATACATTATTTCAAAAAGCAATCAACAAAGATTTTTTTCATCGATGATTTTCATGCCATTTCTTAGGTAGTTTTCCTTGATGACTACGCTTTTTACTGAGATATTTTGATTTTTCATAAGTACAAAAGTGCATCAAATTCTAACGGTAAAGATCACTTTTCTCTTCAATTTCGAATCCGTTTTGTTTAATACTTTTTCCATGAGGAACTATGATGGTTCTCTTCCATCTAAAGTAATTTTCATTATTATTGAACTTATTGTTGTTGAAATATGAGTGTGCAAAAGTTTTGTTTCAGTGCTTCTCGGAATTTATCAGATTTTTTGGAGAAGATGCTAAATAAATAAAATAAAAACTATATAGTTCGATAGAGTAAGTGATATTCTATTCAACTATATCAAAATAAGAAATATTCGAGGTTTTGTATAAATACAACAAACTGAAAAAATCTGTCAAAAATAACGTGATCATGCTGTATAAACCATTTCAGACAAAAAAAATAATATATAGCGACATTTCATTTAACTTCGATTCTTTACAAAGGTTATTTTTCTTGATAAATTCTTTAAATATAGACATATGTCAAAGTATTGACTCTGTCAGCTGCTTATTAATTAAAAAATAATTAGTAAATATCTCTCTAATCATACAAGGAAAACTTCAGAATAGACTCTACGACACGAACCATATTTATGATGAAGGTTTTCGTGAGATTGGACTCCAAAAACCAGGTCTTCTAAAAATTCTTAAGAAGGATTTGTAGTGTTTGGAATTAATTCTGAACTTCTAATTCAGGATTTTTCCATTTATATATTCAGACTCAGCCATGCTACTAACGAAAAGTAAATCGATATTTTGTAAAAGTATTTAGGTATAATCTACTATTTAGTTTTGAAAAATGTTGCCTTAATTTGAAGTCTTTTTTTAAATTAAAATGCATCAAGCAAAAGTTGATGCTGATTTTTTTTATAGGATGTCTAGAGTAACTTACTCTGATGTTCTTGAGGGACATATTTTGATTCTTTTGAAATAGAAATACTTCCAGTCACAAACAGTTAAAATTTAAAAAGATGATGAAATCGATGTATCTAATGTTAAACGAAAGATTAACTGTGCGAAAACAATTGACGTCGAAACTTCTCTCACTTAACATTCTATTGCCAAATCTTGTCATATTAGCCAATCTACCATGTCAAGACTAATAAAATTTGCCAAGTTCACTCTTCGAAAAAAAAAGAACGCTAAAAATTAATAAATAAACACCATCGAAGGTCGAAAAAACGTTGTCAACGCATACGTCGATTTTATCGATAATTAGCTAATAGTTGCTACAAAAATTTCATCGCAATCGATGAATCTTGATTCTGTCTCGACAGTATTGAAGGAAAAAGGAAAGTCTGTTACACAAAAAAAAAAGACCGATCCAGACTGATAATTCAATAAGATTTATCTCGTTCACAAGGCTTTATGGTATAGACTGCTGTTTCATTTCGAGACAAAACATTGCTTCTTTGTTGAATGAATCAAAAATTAATTATATTAAACCTGAAGAACAGATATCAAATACAACTCTCATAGACTATTTAGTCTGAGGATATTTAAAACTATAGATGAACAAACAGAAAGTTTTTGTACTAGTGGAAAAGATCGATAAAATTTTAGCGTACTGATCGAAACAACTATTTCTTATATTTAAAGTTCATAGCTTTCATATAGAACGTCGTTTGAAATTATAATCTTTTTCTTTCTTCTATAATAATAATAGAAAAAAACTACTAGAAATGAGAATATACATGAAACATCGAATTGTTGATTATTCAACTATAGTAATGCCAATAATTAATTGTATTATTGAATAAAATTTAAATAGATTTTCTTCAAATATTTTCATTGTTTGAATATTATTTAAAAAGTGAAATTTATTGATATATAAAACTTTCATTGTTATCAACGTTTCATTTTATTTACAAAAAGAGAATTCGTTTTGAATAGGTTAACAATAAATTTCAAATATGTATCTTGATAAGTTTTCATCTGAATGACTTCTGCTTAATCGAAAACAAAATTTCGTCGTTAAATTCTCTAGCAACTCATATCCGTAGAGTATGCACAAAATGTAATCATGAACTCGAAAGGGTCTCGATACTCGTATGCCTAAAAAAAAAGATCACTATCTAATTAATGTTTCAGTCTTTTTAATTTTTTTGACGTTGTTTGGTCCCATGGACAAAGTCTGAATACGTTCTTTTATAGTATGCATCATACTAGAAGAAAATAGTCTATGATTCGTATTCAATTTTCAAGAAAATATGCCCTGACAATATGAGTATTTTATCATACTAAATTGTTTCAAATACTATGAAAATCAAACAAAAAATTCAATGCACTTCACATCTCTTTAAATAGAAGTGGAGAGATAGTTTATCTTTTAAAAATGATCCTTTTTACTGCCATGTATTACTGCCCATCTGCGCTTTCACGATTACATGTTGCACATTTTTTTCACATGACTTTATAGAAAAATGAAAGGGACATCTTTTGAAATTAAGTTCCAGTCTCGGCGACGTCAACTAATTAAAATACTGATGGTATCATCATTTAAGTTGCATCTGTTATTATTGTTCTAGTTTAAAGTCTTGATCAAATTTTATTACTCTGTATAATTTTATTCAGATATAAATAGAAATGTTTTCTTTCTTTTCTGCCCAAAAAAAAGAGATAAAGAAAACATAAGATCTTATTAAATAAATATGAATACAACAACAAAAATAGACATATACGTAACATCTCAAATCTCAGAGGTATTTACAATGTATTACGATTAACATTTAGAATAGAAATATGTCATCTTAGACGAACCTCTTTTATCACTGTCTATTCAAAAATTTTCGAATCAAAAAAAGGATAAAGATGTGTTGATAACACTGGAAGCTTGTCTTTTGTATTCATATGTCTTAGGAGAGGAAATTTGTTGTTGTAGTTATGTCATTATTATCATCAATTCTATTTGTATAATAATCTATTATTTTATAAAAAATCTACCATAGACAAAAATATTTCTAATCGAATGTTTGTATCGTATAGGAAATAATATAATAAAGTATAAAGCGAACAATTGTACATGCAGTTGTACAATTCATCAATAATCAATGAAAATCATCGAACAAAGATTACAATAAGATATTACATAGTAAATCGATTTTCATTTGGTTATTTCAATAATAATTATTATTATTCAGAATGAATTTTGTAAGATGATGTTAATATGAATATTGTTTTCTAACTTTAAAGTTTACTGTGTCATACAAAGATTTTTGATTGAAATATTTTTATTTAAGAAATTTTGTTAAAAACAAAATAATACATGACTATTCAAAAATATCAATCAAGTCAACGATAATACTGGAATCGCTATAACAAACGAATTTTAAATTCCGTTATATATTATAATCTGAGACAAATTTATAGCTTTATTAATATATCATTGATGTTTATGATTGAAAATTGTCATTCTAGGTTTAGTTATAAAGTCAAACGATCATAAAACGAAGAATAAAAAAAAGTGAGTTTTTTTCTTTCCATTAAATTAATCATATGAGAAAGAAAATACAAGATGATTTGCTAAAATAAAATAAGTAATAATCCTATTACTATACATAAGTGTACATATGATTGAATAAAATTTTTTTTGTTAATTACAATGTAATATTGATTGTTTTATTTAATTTTAATAAAATCAATAATTTTGATAAATAGGAATCGGTTTCGAAAATTTTACAAACATTCGAAACTCATCGTTTGAGATATTTTTTTATTATTTTCCAACTTTTAGAAGTTTTAATCTGACAAATATTTAAGAATTGACAGAATTTTATTTATTAAAATATTTAAATCAAACCAAAAAATTATTTTTAAAGAATATAAATAGAATTTAATACTTTTTAATAATAAATAAATAACGATTTTAATATAATAGATCAAAAAATGTTATAAAGAAACACATTTTATAAAAAAAAAAAAGGAAGAAAATTATAAATGTTTTTTGCTTCATTATTAATTTTATTGTATCATTTTCATAACAATTGTTTTCATTTCTAAAAAAATAAATAAAAAGAAAAATAAGATTTAATTTTTATATTAAATTTGATTAAAAAATGAATTGAAATACCAAACAAATTAGAATCATTTTATTAAGATCAGAATTAATTCGTTTTTTTTTCTTATTCAGAAGTTTTTGTTTTCTTTGAAAAATATTTCACTGCGCACGTGCAAGTTTAAGGTGAAAAAGATTATTTTGCTTCATGAGAATTGAAAAAAATAAAAAAAACAAGACATGCACCGCTACAATATATCAATGTGAAAAAAATGAGTGCTACGCAGGAAGAATGAAAGAAGAAAAAAAAAATTTCGTCTGCTTTTTCATTTTCAAAAAAATAACAATGCATCGTGTCTCATGTTGTCTGTTTTTGCTTTTTAACGTGATTGTTATGGGATAATATAATCTGCAGTTTGGATGTATGTTATCATACAACGCAGGTAAATTTCTTGTTTAATTAATAGAAAATCAAAAGAATTTTTTTCATAATGTGAAAAAGCAGTTAATAGTAAATAAGCAGTAAGAGATTAGTGAATAAGATACAATGTCAAAATCTACACATATAAAAAATTACAGAACTTTAGTTAACATAATAATTATGGTTATTTAGTAATTTAAATGTCCATCAGTGAGATAAATTCTCATCTAAACACAAATAGAAATAAAATTTCTATAATGTAAACATTTTTTATTTTTTTTCTGGAGTTGATAACG